GCATTTTTTACATGGGAAATAACTGATGTTTTTTTTTATAATAAATTCAGTTGTTTTCTATTCGTATCTTTTTTCATACTGCATCGAATAAGTATATTTCGAAACGCCTAAACGAGTAACAATAATAAAAAAAAAAAGTTAATTTTATTGAAAAATTGAGGTTTTCTTTCTTCCATATCAAACATATCAGTTTTCTTCAAGTTTCTTAAGACTTTCCAAATAGTTTTTTTCAATTTTTTTTATCTCAAAAATGTTGCTTAAAAAATTTTTAATATATATATAGTTATGTAGAGTTCGACAAGCTCTATAAAACCAAGGTAAAAATAACAAAAAAAAAACAATATTTAATTCTATTTATGAATTATTAATACCTTTTGTTTCTTCTTTCCAAAAATGTATAAAATTTCTGAAAATTTCTTAAGTTGAATATTAAAATTTTTACACAATCTTTACTAAATAAAGACGATTTTTCACGATCGTTTCATTTGATATAAAATTCATCATGTCATCTCTTTGAAAATTATAGTTTTACCTCCCTTGAATAATATTTTTTTTTCAATTCTTCACATGTAAACAATTTTGAAATTTTTTCATTAAAATTTATAGTAAATCTATCAACAAATAACATTTTTAGATTTAACATTTAATACGCTGCTGTAATGACCGACATATGTTTAGTAAATCTTCCTGTCGAAATACTTTATCGTATTTTGGATAAATGTAATACTAAAACGATTTTACTTTCTGTTCGTCGTATTTGCAAGAGGTTAAATAAGATCGTACACCAGTATGATCGATTCGAATTGAGACTTGATGAATATGACGAGAAAAATATTAATTTAATCTCTAATTTTGGTCTTGAAAGTGCTATTGATTCATTAGAAATTTCACCACCTCACAGGTTCAAGAGAGATTGGGAACTTTCCAATCGTTTTTATAAGATTTTTCAATGTTCAAGAGTTCGACATTTGACTATTTACTTTTCTGAGAATGAAAACATTCATATTTTAAATAATTTATGTCTCGAACGATTGATATCACTTAAAATTACTATATGTGGTGGTCAGACTGTTGAAATGTTTGCTCATATTTCATCAATTCTTAAAAAAATTAATATTGAAAAAATCGAATGGACTTATTTACATTATAAAATTAAAGATATGCCATGGCCTATTCAATGGAAATTGAAATATTTGAGAATTTATAGTTGTCTCTATAATGAATTTATAATAATTCTTAATCAATTACCTTATCTAACAACATTTCGATTAATAGACTACGTAAAAAATGCCAATTGTATGGATATATTATCATTTAATTCTTTTGTTAGTTTATCATTGACATCATTATCGATTGGTGATTGTTCACTTTCAATGGAATATCTCAAATCTATTATTTCAAATTTGCATAAACTTCGTCATCTTCGAATAAATTTTAAAAAGAAAACTTTTCAATCTATTGATGAAATTATTGATTGGGAATATTTTATTAGAACGGAAGAATTTTTCTTAATTCAATGTCAATTTCGTTTTTCTTTTGAAATGCCAAAAACTGATTGGCCTAATCTTGAAGAATTTATTATTCCATTTCAAAAACCATTTTGGCTCAATGAAAAACATTGGTTTGTTACTTGTGAATATATCATTAAAATACCAGCTATGATCATACTTTTTACAATACCAATTAGTTATCAATTTCATGAGTATGGAGAAACTGTATTAGGAATTTCGTCAAATATTGATACTTATTATCTAACTAAACGAAGAGATGGAATATCTGTTAATACTATTTTAGATCAAGTATGTAAAATATTCTTTTTGTTTATATTGATCACTAGAATTCTATTTTTCCTTTCAATACTCGTCTTCTTTCTCACTTAATTAATAACTATTTCGATAAAAATTGTTTCATTAACCAACTTTCTGTCATATGTAATCAAACAAAAAAAATGTCCTAAGGATCTATATATATATATATATATATATATATATCATGCTCTTTATTCATATAACATTCTATATGATTGAAAAGAATAGCTCATAAATAACATACGAAATAATATTATATAATTAATAATATATTTCACAAATATTTTATAAATACTTTTCATATTTCTTCATAGAAAAGTTCTATCGATATTCATAGATAAATTTTGAACATTAGAATAATATTTATTATTATTATTTAATATTAAAAATCTATTTAAATAAAATAAGTATTATCAATGAAATATATGTTAATTTATAATTTTTTAGACACTCGACGAATGGAATTTTACTTGTATGCTAATTGGATCTAAAGGGGTACAGTATTTTGCACA